TATCTTCAAGAAACTAGACTTAGGTGAAGTACAACCAATTATTGTTACCATTTAGCCAATTGATATATCATTCTCTCACCCAAAGGAGGTAATAGAGGATATCTTAGTTAAGGTGGACAAGTTAATATTACTAGTATATTTTGTTTTGTTATACATTGAGGAAGATAGAAAAATACCTATTATTTAGGTAGACTTTTTTTATCCATTGGTAGGGCTATGATTGATATTTAGATTGGAGAATTAACCATGAGAATCCATGATGAAGAAGTGACTTTCAATGTTTGGAAGTCAATGAAATTCCCAAACAATGATAGTGAGAACAATTTTTATAGAGTCAATGTGGTTGTGTAGAGGATGCTTTAGAGAACGTTTTGGATTTTAATAAATTGGATCAATTGTTGATTAAGGATGCCGTAGACGAGCTTAGAAGTTATATTACCATCTTTCTAGGAGTTCGACATTTCCCGAAGAGGTATGAGTCCTTAGATACTTTGACGTTAGGTAGATCTTTGAAGCTATCTATTTTAGAGGCATCCACCTTAGGGCTTAAAGCATTGTCTAACCACCTTAAGTAAATATTTTTGGGTGATTCATCAACTTTACCAGTGATCATATCTGGTGATCTGGATGAATTTCAAGAGAAAAAGTTTATGGGGGTTCATAGAAAGCCTTTGGACGGACTATAGCAGACATTTAAGGGATTGCCCAATTCGTATGCATGCATAAGATTCTATTAGATGAAGATTGTCAACCCACAGTTGGCCCATAAAGGAATTAATGAACAAAGATATTGTTAAGTTGTTAGATGTAGGAATCATTTATGTCATTTTTTATAGTGATTGGGTTAGCCAATTCACTATGCTTAAGAAGGAAGGGTTAATTATATTCAAGAATGAGAAGAATGAACTCATACTGACTAGAACTATGATTTTCTGGAGGATTTGTATCGATTATAGGAAACTTAACAAGGCTACTAGGAAAGCCTATTTTTCAATTGCCATTTATAGATTGAATGCTTGGTAGATTAGACTAGCATCCTTATTATATTTCCTATATGGCTATTCTAATTATCATCAATTCTTATCACCAGATAAGACGACCAGGATAAGATGATCTTTACAAGTCCCTACGGAACCTTCTCGTTTAGAAGAACGCCCCTCGAATTATGCAATCCCCATGCAACATTCCAACAATGCATGATGTCTATGTTCTTGAATTTAATATAGTGATTCAAGATCTTTAAGGATGCTTTTTTCTATTTTTTGAATTACATTTGATATTTTTCAAACTCATTTGGAACTTATTTTGAAAAGTTGTGAGGAAACTAATCTTGTTCTCAATTGGAAAAAGTGTTAGTTCATCGTTATGGAAGGCATCATTCTTGAACATAAAATATCTGAGAGAGGTATGGAGGTTGATAAGGCGAATATTCAAGTGATTGAAAATTTTCCTCCTACATTTATAAAGTGAGTCCAAAGTTTTCTAAATTTTGCCATATTTTAGAGAAGATTTATTAAAGATTTTTTCTATAATTATAAAGTCTCTATATCATTTACTTGAGAAGGATCTACCATTTGAATTCAATTCAAACTATTTAGCTATATTTGAACAACTTAAGAAATGCTTAGTTGTAGCACCTATCATCATTTCACCTCAATGGTGTTTTAACTTTGAATTGATGTGTGGTACTAGTAACTATGCCATTGGAGTAATTTTAGGGCAA